TTTCCCATAAAATTTTTTTTTAAATAGTCAAACTAATGAGGATCTTGAAATAAATTTTTATATCTTAGATATAAAAAGTTAACAATTTGTAAATTTGTAATTCAAAATATTGTGCAAATGTTTTTGATTGACGAATTTGGTAAAATTGTAATAGACGCTAAAAATTTTTTTGTTAGTTTATGATCAACTTTTTAAAATCACTATTAATAATTTATGTGAACTTTGTATTAAATATTTAAGTTTTTAAATGATTTTTTTAATTATAATAACATATATTTCCAGTTTAAAATATGTTTTAGATATATTTAATCAAATATCAATATATTATAATAAATTTAATCAAAATGTTGATTGAGTATTAATGCATATGAATTCTGCCTATGGATTTAGGTTATGTCTTTTGCCCACTTCTCTTGTGATCTTTATGTTTTATGTATGATTATATTATGAACCATAATCACAGTGAAATGTTTGTATCCAGCATTATTTAACTGTAGTGCTGTATTTAACTGTAAAAAATGTACAGTGAGTGTAAAAAGTATTCGTACACTCCGTGTTTTTGAATAAATATACACTTTTCTTTATAATATTTTATTTTTATCAATAAACCAACATTCACATAGTAATTTATATATTATGTATTACTAAATKTATGACAAAAAAAAATCATGACGACAGTAATAATCATAATAATAATACTCATAATCATAATAATAACAATAATAAATATAACTGCAATAAATATTCGTACACTTCAATTTTAGTGATGGAAATGCCTATTTACTCAGAATAATATTATTAGAAAACAATAAGATAAACGTATACCCATTAATCATTATTAATCATTACCCTTAATTCCCCGATTCAGTTTGCTTCAAAATATTGTTGAAATATCATTCTATTACGAGATGGGTTGAAAAAAATGTAAAACAAATAAAACTGAATGTGAACTGATTTTGAGATTGCATAATCAGTGCCAATCATTATGTCAAATATCAAAAATTGTCAATAGAGCTCATAGTACTGTAAAAGATGTGATAGATTGTTCAGTGAGCGTAAAAGTCACGAAAATAAGTGACGGCCTGGTCGGCCACAAAAACTTTCAGACCATGACAAACGTATAGTCATACAAACAGTTAAGATGGATCCAAAAATTAGCGCTCCTAAAATAGCACAAAATCTTGCAAATTTTTCTGGAGTACATGTTAGTGAAAGTAAAATTAGAAATTGTTTGAAAAACAGTGGTTACCATGGTCAAATAGCTTGTCAAAAATATTTTGTAAATAAAAAAAATAGACAAAAGAAGCTTGCTTTTGCAAGTGGCAACTTACATCGCTCTATTAATTTTTGGAACAGAGTAATATTTACAGACAAAAGTATATTTAATATTTTCGGCTCAGATGGAAGACGTTTTGTGTGGAGAAAATCAAATGCAGAAATGGAACCAAAGAATTTACAACCTATAGTTAAATACGGAGGAGGTTCGGTAATGATTTGGGGCTGTATGAGTGCTCAGGGTGTTGGAAACTTGCACTTTATTGACGGCATTATGAACCAAGACATATACTTAAATATTTTGAATTCACATCTTACAGCAAGTGCTGAAAAAATGGGCATCAAGGACAATTTTGTGTTTACACAAGATAATGATCCCAAGCTCACTGCAAAAAAGTCGAGGCTTGGGGTTGTCTAAAAATGTAACAGAATACCTTGTTACACCACCACAATTTCCGGACATAAATCCTATTTAAAATTTGTGGGACCATTTGGACAAAAAAATTCGAAAGCATAATATTTCAAACAAAGAAACTCTAAAAAACGCTCTAAAAGAGGAATAGAATAAAATAACTGCAGAAACAACATCTCATCTGGTTGATTCAATGCCTAGGAGACTGAAGACTATATTAAAGTCCAAAGGTTATCCTACAAAATATTAAACAGGATTATGTAATGATTTAAAAATATTTATTTAGTTAAAATTATTGGGTGTACGAATATTTATTATAGTAATATTTATTATTATTATTATTATTATGATTATTACTGTTGTCATGATTTTTTTTTGTAATACATTTAGTAATATATCAATTACTATGTGAATGTTGGTTTATTGATAAAAATAAAATATTATAAAGAAAAGTGTATATGTATTCAAAAACACGGAGTGTACAAATACTTTTTACACTCACTGTATATCATTTTTCTTTAACCTATTGCTTTATCTGATAAACTGATATTACACACAATACTTGTGTGTTATGTCTATAGCATAAGCTGGTATTATGGAAGTAGATKGTTTACAGGAAAAACCTTCACACGTAATTTGATTAAATGCTTATAATATATTAAATAAACATATCAATATTCAATACATGCACACCTACCTACCTGATAGGATATACTTTAACTGTCATACCTGATATTGATTCTGTTTTTTTTTTTTTGTATCTTAGAACTACAATTGAACATGCATCATGGCAATCTTCCGTGCAGGAATTTGGGATTAATGTTAAACTTGAAGCTACTGATGAAGTTGAAGTAAAAACTGAGCAAGAGGACAGTATTAGAACTATAACTGAGGGTACTRCATTTTTAAACTACTTGGAAAATGTTAACAACAATGAATTTATTTGCAAAATATGCTATGCTAATTTTGATAATTATGAAGAATTTATAGTCCATAAAAATTTAGTACATAAAATTAAACCTTACGCGTGTAAAGTCTGCAATGCACGATTTGTTCTTAGTGCTCATTTAAATGTACATATGGCTGAACATGCTAATTATCTATGCATGARAAATTCATCTGTAAGTCCTTCAGATGTTCAGTCTTCATCTAATGTATTGAACAATTTTACACAAAGCTTTTGTGTAGCTGATCCTAATAAAATTTTACAAAAGATAAATTTCAAACCATTGAAGTGTCTCAATTGCGTGTTCACAACAGAGTCTGAAACTAAATTTGTTAATCATCTTGGTGTTTGTAGTAGTAACATTCCAAAGATAAGTCCCAAGTTCCATCAATGTCATTTATGTACTAAATCATTCAAAACTCATTCAGCATTAAATGGTCATTTAAAATATCATACTTATAGAAGCGAAATAATTTCAAGAAGACAACTGGCATTAGACAAGAAAAAAATGAAAATTCAAAACAAAAATAATAATGCTATAAAATCTCAAAAATATGTTTTTCCAAAGATCGCAAATTTCAACAGAAGTTTTAAATGTAAAGATTGCAATAGACATTTTACTACTCGCAGCAAATTAAATATTCATTATAAGCAACACAAACAACAAATGATATGTAATAAGTGCCATAAAAAATTTGTGTTAAAGAAAAACTTTGAAAAACACTTACTATCACATACAAATGTTATATCTAATGACACTTCATTCGATAAAAGTAATTCTCAACGTGATCAAAGAGCAACTATAGGATCAATGAAATCTGTTCCTGAAATGAAAATAATTAAGAGCACTAATGACAAAAATGAACAGAATGTCTCAAAAAATGAAAAATCTTTTCAATGTTCCTATTGCAATAACTATTACAAATCAAAACAATCCCTCAGCCAACATAATAGACAACATCATTCTCGTTTTAAATTCACTCGTMGGAAGCTAAAGTCTAAAACTGTTGAATGCAATTGGTGTAGTATAGTAATAACAAAATGTAACTTGCTTCGTCACATTAAATCTTTGCATCCTAACATCAATCCTATTAAATGTTTATACTGTCCAATGGCATTTAAGGATTCTCTCTCGTTGAAATTGCATACTTCTAGATATCATACAATTTAAGTTTAATACATAATTTGCGTGCTTTTTAGACTTTTAGTTTTAATTAATTTAATTCAATCATTTTAAAAAGRAAAAATACATCAGACTATTGTACAATGCAGACTAATTTTTCAAAATATTTTTATATCTGTAAATTCTCTTTTGCTTTCTTTTTTAATCTCTATGTGCTTATAAATTATATAAGGTTAATTATAATGATTCAACTTGAATATCTTATTGTAAAACTTAAGTTATATTTAATTTATAATTAAATTATTGTTTCCATACTTTTATTGTACTTTTAAAACGTGGTAGAAACGAGATACAAGATATCTCCAATTAAATTAATTTATTAAGAGAAACTTAGTATTAGATATATTTTTAATTGTTTTTTTTTTATTAAATAATTATTATTAMATTTTTATTTAATAATAATCATTATAAAAATAATGTTGGCAACATTATTGATGCCGTGTATATTAATGAATATTTTTGTAAACATTCAATGTCAATGTAAATTAATAAGCTGGCACTATGATTATTGGTATTTCAATGTTTCCTCTGAGTTTTATAGTGGTACTAGAGTTTCAGTCTGAACTATCCTACTGAAATGTATTAGTTTGTAAAGTATCTGTTTTTTTTAAATTTAATTTGCATCATTTAATGTAGGATTTGTAATATTTATATTGATAAATTCTGTATATTTAAGACATTTGATTATTTTGATTATTAATACTGATTAAAACAAAAGATTGATTTGTATATTAACTATTCAATAAAAATTACATTTGTATATTGTTTGTTATTTTTATTCTTTAATTTTGGTCCGGGTTATTGTTGGTGTTGTCCATTTGTAAAGACTAGGCCACTAGGGGATGTCTTGGATTTTCAATAGGTCCTTTCTAAATTCATTGCTGGGTTTCTAGGGGATTTCTGAATAGACCATAGTCAGACCAATATTAAGATTTTAATATAAATTGTTATATCTTATATCTATTTTATAATAATAGTATTTTATATTAACTAAAGAGAAGGTATTCCATCAAAGGTAAGTACTAATTAATTTATGATTTAAGAATTAAAATAGTTGTTTTATAACAGTGTCGAGATATTTAAAACTAATGATTTAAGCAACATAAAAAAAAATTATATTATGTATCTATATCTACAAAACCATCAAATATTTTTATGATTATTATTTATTACTTTATTAGAAAGCCTGCCCTGATCACAGCTGAAAAATGCATTTCAAGTGTATTAATCACGGTCAATAATAAAGATAAATAATTTATTACTGGTTGACATGCTTAGAATAATATGGCAGTGGTTCCCAACTCACGGGGCAGTGAGTTAGATTGTAGACACTCTTCAAAGGTACAAGCCAGCAGTATTTGTTGCCCTTTATATATTTAGCTAGTAATCTAGTTTTTTTTTTTACAAAATTGGTATTTTGTACAACTAAATATGTTTAAAAAATGTAAATTTCTTTATTATAGTATTATACTATTATATGGTATCATCTAGTCCTTGCACAGTTACATACACAGTAATACCTACTTATATAATTTTTACTTATAAAATTTCTTGTGCTATCTATACTTACAAAGTTACCTACAATTTACCATTAAAGTATGCAATCCATTATTTATTAATTTAACAAATTATTTTAGATGACCTWTCAGTATTTAAAATATAGTTAATTTATTACTGCCAACTTCTATTTTATGTTTACATTATTTTACTAAAATTCTGGTCCTTATAAWTTTTAAGTATAGTTAAAKACGATATTTTCCTTATTAAGWTCTAAATAATWATAAATTGTAACTTGTAAGACTTAACATTCTGGTTATTCCTACTTTGTTATCTAATACTTAATAGTGTTATATATTTTTTAATTTATAACCTATAGATATTATGAATACTTTTTCATWTTTTAACTTCATATATWGTACCATAACCYGATAATATACATTTCCAACAAAATATTGTTCAGTTTATTAATTATTAGGTATGTCCATTTTCCAACACTCCAACAATATACTGTTTCCAATTTATTAATTTCTATACAATTTTATATCCAAGTATATTATAGTTTCCAAGATATTTGAATGGATTAAAATTCTAAAGTAATACAAGTTAATAAGAAAAAAAATTTAGACACAACCTATGTGGGATCTTGTAAACATGTTTATCAACTCTAAAAGCGGTTATTCGTCTTTGATTTACAATAAATTAACAAAATCGATTTTGACAAAAAATAAATTTGTGTAAGCATTAAGCACTCCYAATTTTCACTATTATTTCTTCCCAATTATTCAGAAAAGCATTGGGGATTTATACATTATACATATTACTCCCTAGACGGCTAGACCCTAGTACACCTAGATCGAATTTTCAATCAGAAAACATATTGAACGAAAGATTTAAGCACTTTTAGTAATTTTACGTAAGCTTTTAGTTAATGTTTAAAAGAGTTATAGGTACTGATACGGAAATAAAACACATATCCACTTGGTACCTAATAAATACAGTTCAAGTCTTAACAGTACCTATGACCTATCTGCGTTTAAAACAGAACATTTTTTTTACACAAACACTGTTCCGAAAGTTTTATTTTATAACTTTTTATGTACGTCAAAGAATTCTAGTTATAACACTTATAAGTTATAACTTAAAAGTAATTACTAAATATCAATGTAATTAGAAAATAACTGGAAAATAATGCAAAAAATTGGACCGTACCCCTGGTGGGACTCGAACCCACAATCCCCGGTTTAGGAGACCGATGCCTTATCCATTAGGCCACAGGGGCTGGTGCGTGGTTTGAATGAATTGGTAGAATTTAAGTCGATAGTAAACAATAATCATTTTAATACATCTCTTAAGGATAAATAGCTATCAATAAACTCATAACTCATAAGCTCTTATAATGGTTAAAAAGGAACCACCTTAAGAGCTCAACCTGTGGCGTCAACCTAACAGTTTAGCACACAATAACCGAATTCTTCAAATATACGAGTACATTTTGAAGACGTAAAAAAATTAACATCCATGCCAACTTAGACGCAGCTTTTACTGCTTTACTGCTTTAGGAATTAGGACTTAGATATTCTACCCAGTGGCGTAATTAGGAATTTGTCTTAGGGGGGATAAACATTTTTTTCCACACATAATACTAAGATTTTCAAGTAGTACAATATTTCATCAAAAATTCTTAAACTAATATATATATGTACACAATAAAATGTATTAATAAATGTGCTTTAAAATTCTACACAATTTAGTACCTATACAATATTATAATAATTTCTTCAAAATGTAAATTTTGAATATATTAGAATTAAAATTTACTTTTAAATTAAATAATAATTTATAGATTTYTTKATATTAATTATATTWAATATATTTCGTCGTGATGTCAGCACGATAAAACATATTATTATAATTCCACAAGCTTCAAATTAATATATTATAAATATACAGTTATAAGTATTATTAAAGTTTAGATTGGCAGAGTAGAGTGGTACAGGGTTACCCCGAAAAATGTCTGTCCACTACTCTGCTTGTCTAAACTTTAAATACATATAACTCATAAACTACTCGTCCTTAATTCGATTTTTATGAATCAAAATACCTAGAAAAATATTCTGCTTTGAATATGAAATTAAAACTCTATGTTGTCATTCAAAAAAGTAAAAAAACTTAAAAAATGATAAGGATAAAAAATATTTRAAAATWTAATTTTTTAATAAAAACGTTGGTTTTTTAACAACTTGAAACCATGTAAAAAAATATTTTGAAAAAAGTAAATACTTTTCGACATAATTCGTGTACCCACTTAAAAGAATCACCCCGTAGACACAATGCTATTTAAAATACAACCTAGCAGGTACATGAAAATGTGATTGAGGCAATGTCATATTATTATATGGCTACTCATGAACAGCAAACCTGTGCRACGATTGGGATTTGAGTGAAGTGTATAGGCACTATAGCAAGTAAATTATTATAGGTAGGTACATACTCGGCAACACAGATAAGAATTAATTAATTTCATATAATTTGTGGTACCTATACATGGCATATGTTGTGAAAATGTACAGAGTGGCCAGTGGGTCATGAGAATAAGGCCAAAAAATATTTTGGCCCTACTTTTGTGATCCGCTCTGTACCTAATTGTTTATTTGTACATAAATGTTTATATATTATTAGTATGTCTATTAAATTTATTAATTGCAGGTCAACTGACTCGATTTTTAGGTCAGAGTATAATGAAGAGTTGGATATAAACCAAGGCGCAGACGTTATCATATGGAGGGTAATGGACTGGAATGCTTGTATGGTGCGAATTTAGGACGGCTATTAGCACAGTTCCAAATTTGGATTGCATCATATGCCCATATTGTTCGCAAGAGAGATTTATAAATAATAAGCTTGATGTGTATTGGTAGTTTTAACTTTAAAATCAGACGAAGTAGGCGAAGGCGACTGTTGACGGTTTTTCTTTTTAGTTTAAGGCGTGGGCCCCAAGTTAATCTTTTATCAAGCGTAATGCCAAGATATTTTACATTAGGAGATAATGGAATTATGGAATTTGGGTCCCTTGAAAGTGAACAGGTGGAGGTTCTGTTATTTTTAAAGTGAATGGTACATTGGTACGCATAAAYAGATTTGTTTGGATCTTATTCGCCACTTAGTTGCCCAGTTGTCGATGAAATCTAAGTGTATTTGTAGACAGTTGGATGTTTCATCAGGGTAATTTTATCAACACAATGTACTCGTATTGTGGTGTCGTCTGTGTAAGTAGCCTGTGTGTGTGTGGTGTTTGTTGTAACTGGTACCTATATCGGCCGTATAAATGTTGAATAGATCAGGAGAGAGGTCGCTGCCTTGGGGCACACTAGCTTTAATACAAAAGTGTGATGAGTATGATTTTCCATGTCGCATTTTGTAGGAGCGGCTTTCAAGGTATGAGCGAATAATTAGATAATATAATAATTATATGATATGGTGCAGGTATATTATTAACTTTATAATGTAAGTTTTCGAAAACTTACCTACTAGACAGAAATGGCATGATTTGATATTTGGCAGAGGGTCTAACGGCATATCAGTCTATAATCCATAATATTTCTCGCTGTATTTTATAGATTTAAGTTTTTAACTATAAATACGTATGATAATAATATGTTATTATATAATTTATCTATTACTTGAATTTCAGATATTTGTGATAGTATATAAATGTAATTTGACAAGGATGAACAAATTCAAAATTATCTAGTTTAGTATAAATTTAGCTTGTTATAATAATGCATTTATTGATTAATAATTTTGAAAACAAAAACAAATAGGTATATATTATACTATTTATAATAAGTTTTATAGTTTTAAATTTTTAGAAATAACTTTTAGAAATACAAAATAACACAACCAAACAATCAGTCCAAAAGATAGAAGTACAATTAATATTATGTCAAACAAAAAATACTGTAAATCATTTAACCCTATGGAGTCACTTTTTAAATGTCCAGCTCCGCCATGCCGAATAACATATTCGACCCAGTAAACAGCTCGATCTAGGGGTTTCATAGGTTGATCTTTATACACAAGACTCTCTATCATTGCCTTCTCTTTAAACCTAATTTAAAAACAATTACGTTAAACATATATAATATTATCTATTAATATATTATCTAAAATAGTATTAGTTAATATAATTTATAGACATACGTGACATCGGACAACACTTCTTCAATGGCATTCCCAAAGGATTCTTCAGTAATTTCAAAAAAATTCACTAATTTACCATAACCTTTTTCCTCAACTATTTTCATGTTGAAATTTTGTTCAGCAAAAAAAGGTACGCCAACTACAGGTTTTGCATTACAAACAGTTTCTTCTAAGCTATGTAATCCTCCGTGAGTGATGAAAAGTATTACATTTGGATGAGCTATATGTATGCGTTGTGTAATATAAAGATTAGGTGAATTTTTTGTATTAGTGTATWATTGGCAACAATGTAGTCAATATTATTACCTAAAATATCTCTTTGTGGAAACCATGAACCAGTCATAAAGTTTCGAGGCAGCTTTATATTACTATCTTCAGATATCCATTTTATTATTACTTTTTGTTTTAATCTTCCAAGGACACTGATAAAAATGTTCAATTTGTCTTTAGGTAAGTCATTTAAATTAACTAGTGTACCAAAACTAAAAAATATTACTCCTTGATCCGCTGCATCTAAAAATGTTTGAAGATTCTAAAATTATAAACAAGAGTTGTGATTTAAAAAATAGTATAGTTAATATATAAATAATAAAAAATGTTGTTATACAATAATTGAATAATATAATTGTTAAATCATATATACATATTAATAATTATACACATATATAACTGTATATTGACGTAGGTATAAATAATAAATCAATGAGCTTTAGAGTTGGTATCAATTTCAAATTTCAATTTATCGATACCTAGTTACAAGTTATAAATCTTAATCATACATTATATGGTATTTTAACTCAAGAGAATTATTGTGAAAATCAAAAATTAACTTTTCTGTGTTCAATTWAACTTATGTAAAGAATTATATAAGGTGCCTACTTTAATTRCATGCGATAGATAATATATGTACTGTCATATTTGTTAGGTAGGTTCTSGGTATTTATATATAAATTAAATATTAATATTATATACATATCAACAGATTACAGTTTACAATATACCAGAAGGAGAATGACATCAGTTACCCACTTCAGAGTGTACGTTACGTATACTACAACGGTCGGCAACTGGCRGACCGCGGTRGAACGCAGAAAGCCTCCGGACCGTTGACATGTCTTAACACTTTTTTTTCACATTACTATTACAAAAACATAAAGATTTGGCAACAATTTTTTTCACTGGACCTCATTTATTTATTATTTTAATCTTCTGGACCCCAATAGAAATTACTTGCTATAGCTGACCTCTGGTATACTATATATTACCTACCCCAACTTACTTTGGTCAAAGGTTTCGGGTCTTTGATGTGCATTCCACCCACTTCAATTATACCCGGAAGGTATGGTCTTGATATACCAATCGCATTATGAGAGTTGACCAGTGTTAGGGATACATTGTTCAACATATGCTCGAGTGGAGGCCTGGATTGCCAACCCCTGTACTTGAGGTATGTGTTCATCACCTCCTTCGTTTTGGGTAAATACAAGTAATTTTCTACATATAATTGCATGAAACCAGTAATAGAGTTCTTTAGACGTTCGATGAAACCCATGTCGCTGGTCAACTGGGTACACGCATCCGGTATGTAGGAAAACGTGGAAGGGACATGTAGCCATTTGCTGATACTAGCCCAGATCATCGCCGGTGCTAGATTAATGACGGGGGCGTTGAATTTATGACCCATGGTCACAGCATACTCTTGACCGAATGTCTCCACCATAACCAAATCAAACGAGTTTGAATTCGATTGAACGAATTGTTTCATATTTCTATGCGACATGACCATTTCCGACAGTTGTATGCCAATGCGCCATTTCAACTGAACCGATGTTATAAAGTTCATGCGTACCAAATCCATTACGTTTCTCGCTGAAATAAAACGTATTATAAATCCATAAATATCTTTGTTGGGATGATTATAATAATAAATTTCTACATTTAATAATATTAATATAGGTATTCATGAAATTTGCGTTGTCTGGCTACAGCTGCAGTGATTATATATACCTAGTATATATTTTATACTTTTTGGTTACAGTAAATCTATTTATGAGAATCTTTGTTTTAAATTTTCAATTCTTAGTTATATAAATTGAACATTTTTGAGATTTTGTCAAAATTTTAAACTTTAAAAAAAATCGTACTTATATGGATTTTTAATATTTATCATTCAATTGCAACTATAAAACTTATGAAAAACCTTGTATTACTTTTTCAAAGTTTTTGACCCAATGAATAAAAATGTAGGTATAACTAAAAAAAAAATTGAAAATGCCTATAGTAAATAACTTAAAACGAGTCAAAATATTTTGTAAATTTTATAATGCAATGTCATTGCAACTTTTTTATAGTTGGTGCTAATTTTTTTACAGGTCATTTCAAATCATAACATTCATAACCAACTATAGG